ACAATAGACAATTTCTGTAGAAAACATGTAAAAGGAAAGCAGTGTCATCGTAGTTGGTGGTAGTTACTAGTGAACGCTTAACCTGTCCGTGATTTTTAATTCTTTTATTTTTTAATATATATATTTTATCGTAAAGATACTGTACAGAGGGGTTACAGTTTACATGAGAAAGGTAACGAGTATATTTCCTATCGAGTATTGTTACCCCCTTCTGTCAGTGGTTTTGTGAAAAACATAAAGGTATTTTTGAGGTTTATTTCATCTCCTACAAGACAATGGCATAAAATTATTTTTGAACTATTTATTATGGAGCTTAGAGTACAGAAGGGTGGCAGTAATAGCACAGACGAAAGGAAAGAGAATGGAATTAGATTGGAACAATTCTGTATTCTCAAATGAAACCCACAAGCAGAAGTAAGAATGAAATAATGAGGAAAACTGTCATCTATGTAATTAAATCTGGCCACACAATACAGGAAATTGATAGAGCAAAGAAAAAGCAAAATCTGGTTTTTGACAAGCTTAAGAAAAGACTAAATCTCCAGCTAGATTGATGGGGAAAATGGGAAAAGACAACCATCTTGAAGAAAGGAAAAAGAGACACTAGCACAGATCGTATAGACAGCAAAAAGACGGAACATGATGAGCAGCACCTGGGTGCAGTTTAGAAGACTGACTTGAAAGACACCAGCTTTCTAAAACCTAAGGGGAAAGTAGAACAATTGATTGGTCGTGTATTGATTTAGGAAATTTAGCTCATAATTAAAACTTGCCCTGAAGAAAGTTTTAGGCCCAGCTGAATTCTCTTGTTTAAATATTAAAGGAACAAATAGCAGTTCTGTAGCTGGAGAAAGGAGCTGCCTTCCCTACTGTACAGATTTGCATTGCTTTAAGAGGAAGCCAAAGGCATGGGAAGAAAGGAAAACTTCAGGACAGGAGATAATGTGCCAGTCCAGACCATCCATTCTATATGGTTCTATGGTCAGATAATAACCCAAATTCAGGGTTTAACACTCAGAATAATTTACCACATTAACAGAATAAACCTAAGAAATGAGCGATCATTTCCGTAGATGCACAAGTATCCATGAGCACTAAGCATTCCAAATGGGTTTTCTACAAAGGCATCAGGGTAAGTTATTGGGGGAAAGAATCATTTTAATGTGCTAAAACAAGTAGATATCTACAAAGTGATGAACTTTGACATTACATACATCATTACCCAAAAGTTAGGAGTAGACTGCTGACCTAAGTTTAAGAGTTTAAACTACAAAATGTATGGAAGAAAACAGACACCTTTGTGACATTTTTGTTGGGCAGTTTTCTTAAAACGGGACACAAAAACCATTAAAAGGAAAACAGTATGATTAAGTCAAGATTAAAAATGTGATTCACATAGAATAAAAATGTGCCAGGTGCTGATGGCTCACACTTAAAATCCTAGCTGTTCAAGAGGCTGAGATTTGAGGATCATTGTTTGAAGCCAGCCTGGGCAGGAAAGACCTCCAATTAACCACCAAAAACAAAAACCAAAACCAGGAAGTAGAGCTGTCACTCAAGTGGTAGAGCACTAGCCTTGAGGGGGGGAAAAAAAAAGTTGAGACAGCATCTAGGCCATGAGTCCAAGACCTAGGACTAGCACATATCCTCCTCCCCAAAGCATATAAAACAAAAACATCAGAGTATTTTAAAAACATAGAAAGGGATGGCATCAATCAAGGTGCATTGTATCCATAAACTGACCATTGTATAACCAAAGAATAAAATAGAGTAAAAAACATGTTTCAAGAGGGTTTGTATGCAGATCCTATAAAGAAGTCTTTTCAATTCTCATAAAAAAATGTCTCATTTTCATAAAAGTGGATCAATGAATGACATGAATAGTAAATTCACAAAACACAAATCCAGCTATCACAAGTTACCTGAGGATTGTATTGTAAAAGCTCAACAAACCATTAGCTACTTTTAAAATTGGTAAAATTTAAAGTATGGTACTCCTCCTGTATTGCTGATGGGGAAATAAAATAGCCTAGCCACTGAGAAACTATTGGGGTTAGTTTCTTTCAAAGTTATATGCATATTGAGTATGTTACCTAGAAGCTCTGCTGGGTATTTGCCCTGGTGAACTGAAAAAACATTCAGATATGAATGTACAGAGTAACACCATTCAAATACACAAGTTGGAAATCATGCACAATCACTTGTTTATTGATGGGAGAGAAAAATCAATATCAAAATCCAATGCTCTGTATTGCATGACATTCCAAAGTAGCCATGTCTTCAACAATGGGAAGGAATGGATTGTCAATCCCCAGTGGACTGATGGCAGTAACTCCATGCTTGGAGAAGTTAAGTCAAACACAAGGGTTTACATACAATACCTTTTGTGTGAAGTTCTAGAAAAGGTCAGCCTTATTCTTGTGGATAGTGGTTTGCTTGGGTCCCAGTGTCTGGGCAGGAAATTTATTATAAAGAGGCTTGAAGAGAATTTGGGGCTGAAATGTTCTGTGTTGTTACTGTGGTTGCGGTAATGGGACTGTATCTGTAAGTTCCCAGCCCACCAAACTGCTTAAAATGACTGCGATTGCTTATACCTCAGTAAAACTTGTGGAAAAGAAGAATCATCCTTGTCACAGGAGTATCACTTTGTTTCCATATAAATATGCATTACAGTCTTTTATTTAGTAGACAAAATAAGTTGGAAGTAAGTATTCAAGGATGGCTTTTTGGTAAAGGGACATTTTGAGCAGACAGCTGAAGTCAAGTAATTTAGTTAAAGAAGTTGATTGCATATGCTCTAACCATGTCTTACTGAACTTGGTACTTCATAGTTTCTGTGGCTGTTACAAAGGAGATCTCTTTCTGATTGCCTTGGTTAATACTAATTGTAAAATCATGGTTTTTTTTCCCCCCCCCATCTTCCTATGTCTTACAATCTCACTTTATCATTAATTTCCGGAGGACAAGGACTATTGCTACCGCATGTCCCTTCTTTCCGGACTTTATTCTCGGGTTAATTTATTTGAATGATTTTCACCAAGACCAACCAGATGGTCACTGTGTGTGTTAGTGTGTCCTTCCTTAGCTTAGTGTGGCACCAGAGTGTAAGCAGAACTAAGGAAGGCCTTCAGAGGAAGCCAAAGATGCTAGTGCCATTAAGAGCAAGTTCCAGGCTGCAGGTGAGTGGGCTGGCACCCCCAAGGTGGGACGGCCATGACGGTATTCATAGTCACTCAGATACGGAAAGACTGGCTGGGAGTAGATTAGACATGATGCTTTGGCAAGATTAATGATTGTATTAAATGAGTGAGGGGGAGCTTTTCTCTTTCCCACCTGTCTCCCCTTGGTCTGCTTTAGGATAAGTGAGGTCTATGAAACTATTTAGAGCATTTTGAGAGCTGGGCATGGGCTGTTGGAAGTGTAACCTACCTGGTCATGTTTGTGCTGCTCCAGTAGGTGGCAGCAAAGCCACCTTTAAAACAAAAGTTACATGAGGAGAAAAGAAAGTTACTTGGCAAATAAGTCCCCGAGAGGGTGTCTTATTTTCCCTATGAACAGATAAAAGCAGTATCGCCACTGTATTTCAACAGATCCTAAATGTCTTGAGAAACTAAGATGATAAATTGTACCTAAAAAAATGTTACTTTTTTTAAAAAAATAGCAGTTTTGTTAGCAACTCCTGACCTAGAATCTTCACCCTCTACAGTGTGATGAATATTTTGACATACCATTTTCTGCCTCATAAGCTTCTCTAAGAGAATCCAGCTGTTACACAGTATATTCTAGCACGAAATGGCTACCTCGCCTAAACTTGGAGGAGTTTTGTGCAGGTGGAAAAACACCGGTGATTTTTTTCTCTTGCATGAACGATTGAGGGTGGCAACTTTTCTAAGAAGAGAGCATTCTTAATCCTAGTAGTCAGGTGTGGCAAGTCAGCTTCTCCCTGGACTGCTGGCTTTCCAGAAGAGGCGGTGCAGTGCGAAAGGTGTGGTTCTGTCCCATCCTCCCCTGCATTGGGGAATGCCAGCTGTGGGAGCTGCAGAAAACTCACCTTTGGCACGAGTCTGGAACAGAGATGTGTGGATGAGAGGAATCTTGTAATTTATAAGTTCTTGTTCTCCTCCCCCTCTATGGAAATCAGTTGATTTCTTTAAAATTTTATTATAAAGGCGATTTGCAGAGGGTTTACCGTTTCATAAGTCAGGTAATGAGTACATTTCTTTTTGGACAAAGTCACTCCTTCATACTCTCCCAGTTTAGAAGAGATTTTTTTTTTTTTAACTCTTTAAAAAAATAATGTTCATCTGGTGCTGAGGTTTCTCTCAGTTTTTCACATGATGTGCTGTTTAAGTCTCTTAAACTCAAGACCACATAAAAATGAGAGAGTTCAGAGTCATTTTTAATCTTACGAAAACATGATTTATCACAATCATTTACCATATATCTCGCATGCTTTGGAATTTAACAGACCACAGAAAACCTTCCTCTATTTTTCTTAAACCTAAAACAAACACAGTCTGCCAAACCATAGTACATCCGTAATTCAGAGGAGCAGATGGTGCGGCACACATGCTTCTGTTTAAGACCAAGAAGGAGTACAAGAGAAAAATAAAACAAAAGATTCAAAACCAAAAAGAAACATGCAGTCGCACAGAGCCGAGGCTTATTTGAGTAGCCAGAGGCAGTGGATAAATTGAGAGCTGGGGAGAGGTGGGGGTCCAAACTCTGTGTTAGGTATGTTATCTTTCTTAAACACTGGGTCAGTCTTTTCCCCTGCTCTCACTCAGACTCAATAATTTCTGTACAGAAACTTGCTTTCCTTTGGAACTGGTCTCGGGGTAAACTGAGGTTTACCCTGACAGGGTGTTTCCTTACGCTTGATCCCTTTACCTTTTTTTTTTTTTTTCCACGCAAGAACTAGCTAAAATGTTGGGTTCCCTGGCGGAGCACGTGGTTTTATCTGAGCATCCCCTAACACTCGCTGTTGGTTTTGACTGCAGCTGACCCCACGGTGAAGGACCTGATTGGAGGCTTCACCGCTCTTCATTACGCAGCCATGCATGGCCGGGCCAGGATCGCGCGCCTGATGTTGGAGTCGGAATATAGGAGTGACATTATTAATGCAAAAAGCAACGATGGCTGGACTCCCCTCCACGTGGCTGCCCACTACGGTAGGGACTCGTTTGTCCGGCTCCTCCTGGAGTTCAAGGCCGAGGTTGACCCACTCAGCGATAAAGGTACCACCCCCCTTCAGCTCGCCATCATCCGTGAGAGGTCGAGCTGTGTGAAAATCCTCCTGGACCACAATGCCAACATTGACATTCAGAATGGTTTCCTGCTGCGATACGCCGTCATCAAAAGCAACCATTCTTACTGCCGGATGTTCCTTCAGAGAGGAGCAGACACAAACTTGGGGCGCCTAGAGGACGGGCAGACTCCTCTGCACTTGTCCGCCCTGCGGGACGATGTTCTGTGTGCACGGATGTTGTATAACTATGGCGCAGACACGAACACAAGGAACTATGACGGCCAGACCCCACTGGCTGTTTCAATAAGCATTTCGGGAAGTAGTCGGCCGTGTCTGGATTTCTTACAAGAAGTCACAAGTATGTAATAATGATTATTCCTACTACCTTTTTTTTAAAAAAAAAAAGTTTTCAACTTAGGAGGCGCTTAAGGTGTTTTTATAACGTAAGATGACAAGACATTAGTCATTCCTGTAAGTCCTGCTGGTAAGCAATGCCTCATTTATCAAGAAAAGAAAAGGCCTTTGAAAAAGTTCTAAATCCAGATGTGTTACTGAGGGGAGTGGGGAAAAAGGTAAGGGGTGGGGGAGGAAAGGGGTAAAGACAAAAGGGAGAATTTTCAGAATGAGTGAAGATCCATGCTGGCCCATGGCCATTACTGTTGGTCAAAAGAATGTCCATTCTAGGCTTTCGTAGAATTCAGAAATTGGAATTACCAGGAGAGTGCTGGGTATTAGATGCCTTAGCTATGAGAATGTTCTAGAAGTGTGTGTTGGGGCAGGGGGTCCTGGGGTTTGAACTCGGGACCTGGGCACTTACTCCTCATCTTTTGTGCTCAAGGCTACTACCACTTGAGCCATGGCTCCACTCCTGGCTTTTTGGTGTTTAATTGAAGGTAAGAACTTTGCTACCCATATAATGCTCAGATCTCAGCCTCTCCTGAGTATCTATGATTATAGGCATGAGCCACCAGTGCCTGGCAGCAGCTACTTCTACTCCTTGTGATTTAAAAGCAGGCTTTAGAACTTCAACCCAGTATGTTCTTGTAGGGGCCCTGGAGACCCTGGTAGGGTCCACAAGGTCCAGATTCTTTCCTACCAGGACCAAAGGGGTGTTTGCCTTTCTCACTGGGATTACATTTCCTCTGATGGTCTGCAGGCTATGGAAAGAAACTGCTTGCAGGTGAGCCTGAATCCAGCCAGGGGGCCAACTTTCTTCTCCCCAGGCAACTCTTAAAAAAGGAACAAAGGAACAGATATATGTGTGTGTGTACATATGTTGCATATATTATAATAAGCTTGCTGCTTTAGCTTTCTTTCACACAGTGTCCTCAGTCTAGATCTCCAGATTGTTTGTTTTGTTTTGTTTTAGAGGTAGTTCTTCCTATGTAACCCAAACTGACCTCCCCACTCCCCGATCCTCCTGCCTCAGCCTCCTGAGGCAGTGTCACACATCACCTACACCCAGCTAGCTAGGTCTCCACTGTTCTTAGGGCAGAGAATAAGCTAGCTGGTTGGGCTTGTGTTTCACGCCCTGACAAGAATGAGCAGAAGCAGTGATTGTGTTCTAGAAGATGACACACAAAGATTGGAATCAACCACAAGTAGGCTTTGGTGTGGTGGGTTCGGTTTTCATCTCTGCTTTGAGGAAGTAAATGGTTCACATTTCTACAAAAAAAACTTTTAAGTAGATTGGAGTTGAGTTGTATAAACTATTTCACAAGAGACTTAATCTGTCAAGTACTTAAGCTGGTTGATTTCTAGAACATCAGTCACAGATGTATAAAAATAATATTTTATAAATATCATAGTAACCAGAAATATGTTTTTATTTAGATTTTAGCAATAGGTATCATGGGTTTGGTTGTTTTTTTTAGTTTGCAGAAACAAAATCTTGAAAACAAGACTTCAAACCTTTTAAAAAAACAACATCAGCAACTTTAGGGTTAGAAGTTTATCAGTTGTAGAAAGAGGACTTGCCTAAATAAATACTTAAAGAAAATTTAAAGATGAGAATTTTTAAGTAATTTAAACTTCACCAATAGCTAAATAAAAATGTAAAAATAAGAACTGATGGAAGAAAGCAAAACAGACTGGTCTTGCCTGAGATCAAGCCCGTGCAGCAACGGCTGTGCTGTGCAGGCAGTTGGAAACACAATCAGTCTCATCATCAATTGACCTGACCTACTCTGCACCTTTCCAGTGCTTCTTGGATTGTTCTGTGGGGTAGTTTGCTGACAGGGTGACCCTATAACATAATGTAACACTCTGTGATTCTTTTTTTAATTGTGGACTTACTAGGGTTTGAACCCAAAGGCTTGCCTGCAGGGTTCTGTACCACTTTTGAGCTATACCTCCAGCATAAGCTTACTTTTTGATTGTTGTGGTAACTGAGTCTTTAACTGTGGAGTCTGGGCACTGTCCCTGAGCCTTTTCACTCAAGGCTAGCACTCTACCACTTGAGCCATAACTCCAGTTCTGGGTGTGTGTGGGAGGAGGGGAGCAGGGTTTGCAGTTAATTGGAGATGAGAGTCTGATAGACTTTCCTGCCCCAGCTGGCTTCAATCTGGGATCCTCAGATCTCAGCCTCCTGGGTAGCTAGCTAGGATTCCAAGTGTCAGCCACTGGCTCCTGCCTGGTTTTGATGATTGATTTCCCCAGACAACAATAGTATAGTCTTACCAGAGTGCCCTTTTATAAACAAAAAGCACACAGTTTTAAGTCAAATTACACCAGACTGTAGGGTTATTTGACAGGTTATTTCATGCACTTTTGTAGTATTTGCTGTTTATTTATAATTTTGTGCTGGTTCTGGGGCTTGAACTCAGGGCTTGGGTATGGTCCATGAGCTTTTTTGCTCAAGCTTTTCCACTTGAGCCACAGCTCCACTTCTGGCTTTTTGGTGGCTCCTTGGAGGTAAGAGTGTCATGGACTTTCCTGTCCAGGCTGGTTTCAAACTGTGATCCTCAGATCTCAGCCTCCTGAATAGCTAACTATTACAGGTGTGAGCAACCAGGGCCTGGCTCCTTTTGTAATATTTTCACTCTTCTGTCTCTAATGTCAGCATCTAGAGATTTCTTGTCATTTGATAGTAAGCCATGTATGGTTTTGTTTGGCTCAACACAAATGTTAAGATCTAAGAACTCATTTGCCTATGGAAAAATTGGAGCCAGTGGACAAATGTCAAAGTCTAATACTCTATAAATTTGGACTCCAAGAGAATACCATGATTTCTGTTTTTAAGGGGAGCTAGAAATTGCCTTTGGTCCTACGTCCTATGAAGTAAGGTTTGTTTAAAGTACTTTTATACAAAGTCCCAGAGAAGGGAATCAGAGGCAAGAGCAAAGGAGCAAAGTGTGTTCCTGGTAGGATTTTACTATGGGAAGCTGAGATAAAACAAAGGGAGGTGTTGTTGACACCAGATGTGGAACATTCCAGATGTTGACCTGTGATGGCAAGGGTCTGGAGTAACAGTCCAGCGTGGAGAGCAGCCCAGAGTGGGCTAAACCTTCTTTCTTGGCACTCTGGCTGCCTTCGGCAGTCTCCCCTTGCCCAAAGCCATCTCCGGGGCGCCTCGATCTCATGCCATTCACTTTGGCTGTCCTGAAATGTTTTGTCTTTATTTTTGTGAATCCAAACATTTTTATCCAAATAAATAAATTTATCCTATCATAAAAAAAAGCATGGCACTGACATCAAAGAGAGGGTGGTTAGGAGATTTAAATTTTGTTTTTAATTTTGCTGCTAGCCCTCATTTTGGAATTTTTTCCTAACACAGACCCTTCAAAAGCTGATTTCCTGTTTTATACCAGCCCAATTATTAGTAATGATTGGCTGCTTTTGCAAAACGGGAAATCTGACAGCCCTTTGAACTGTGAGGTAATTTCCATTGCAGTTCATGAGCCTGAAGACTTCTTTTTCCCTGCATCCCCCAAATTATACTTTCTAGGGGAGATGTTCCCTACGTTTCCCATGTTATAATCCCATGGACCAAGTGGCTGTTGCTTTACAGGGCAAGACCTAATTTCCTGAAATGCTAGTGTGTGCATTTGTATTGATTCTTCCGCAGTCTTTCCCTGGTGCTTTCTGTGCCTTCTCCTCTTCCCTCTCCCTTTTTTTCTTGCCCTTTTAATCTCTGGGACAGTGTTCTATGGATTGTGTAGAAGGCACACGCTAAATGCTTGAATGATGCATTAAGCCCCGAGTGGTGGCACAAGTCTGTAATGCTTCTACCCTGGAGGTTGAGACAGGCGGATGACGGTTTGGAGGCCAGTCTTGGCTATATAACAAGATTTAGTCTTACAAAACAAAAAACAAAGCCAGGTACCAGTGGCTCATACCTGTCATCCTAGCTGCTTAAGAGGCTGAGATCTCTGAGGATTGCAATTTGAAAGCCAGCTCAGACGGGAAAGTCTATGAGACTCTTAGCTCCAGTGAACCACCAAAAAAAAAGAAACAGAATTAGAGCTGTGATTCAAGTGGTAGGGTAGTAGCCTTGAATAGCAATAAGAAAAAACTCAAGGACAACACCCAGGCCCTGAGTTCAAACCCCAGGACTGAAAAGCAAAAGAAATAAGGACACCTTTGAGGAATACTTCTACACTGCCATTCCTGGGAAAAGAATTCTGAGCTCATCTGCTAATAGCACTTAAAATAATTTGGTCCTTCCTTATTCCTCTTGTATTTTTTTTGTCCTGCTGTTAATTCAACAGTGCTAGCATAAAACAGGACAAATAGTTAAATCTATGTAAATGGAGAACCTATCATTCCAACCTTCACTGCATCACTGAACAGTTTTTTGTTTTTTTGTGGGTTTTTTGAGTTGGTCATGGGGCTTGAACTCTGGGCTTGGGCGCTGTCCCTTAGCTCTTTGGCTCAAGGTGAGCGCTCTACCACTTGAGCCACAGCGCCACTTCTGGTTTTCTGAGTGGTTTATTGAAGATAAGAGTGTCTCACGGACTTTCCTGCCAGAGCTGGCTTTGAACCAGGATCCTCAGATCTCTGCCTTCTGAGTAGCTAGGATTACAGGCGTGAGCCACCGGCACCCAGCACACTGAACAGTTTTTATGCTGTTAAACAGTCTCTGCCCGGTTGTTTTCTTGTAATGATTGACAGAATATAGTGCCCATCCATGGGTCTGGACTGTTTTCCTGATCCTGGATGACCAGGCCCTCCGTAGCTGTCAGGCCGTGTTTTCCCTGCTGTCATAATGGAAAATCACAGTTCTTCCCTGAGGCAGGAGGCTCTCTGCTTTTCTGGTAACAGAAAGTAAACATCCATACAACTGCTTGGCAATTAATATTTTAAAACATTCTTGCGTGACTCCATTCTCAGTACTGTACCAGAATTAACTTTATTTCGTGCTTGAGAAACCTTTGAGGTGGGTGCTGGTTTTATGAGGAAACCAAGGCAGGAGGCTCAGTATGTCAGCCAAGATCATACAGATTATAAGGAGTAGGGCTAGGGCCAGAAGCCAAACCCAGGCAGTCTGGCTCCAGGGGTGATGATTATTAATCACTATGATATATCTATCATTAAAGATAATTCTTCAGACAGTTGCTACAGAGGGTCAGGAAATCTTTGAAAGATCCCATTACCCCCCCACCCCAAATATTTAAGGAGGACCACAGCACCCTTGAGCCAAGCATTCCGGTGTATTTCAGGCCCCCAGGATCCACTGAGAAAAGCATTCCAGTAGTTAGACCTGGACAGTACTGACTGAGCGCCCAGCCAGGACTAACTACCCAGGCATCTGAAGTGAGCCATGTTGCAGAGGGAGAAGCCAGCTCTAGAAAACACTGCACGGAGCCTAGATGTAAAATACGTAAAAGAATCTTCTATCGTTTTAAACCACTAAATTACAGAAGTCAGGAAATACTAACGGCCGGGGAATCAGTTATGTCGTGATGGGACATAACCGATTGATCTCACACGAGTCGAGTACTCCACTCACGAAACGGTAAGGGACCATGGATACCAAGCAGCAGGCACCAGGACTGGGAGATATTTTGGTTTTGTTTGGAGAAGAACAGAGGCCACTAAGCAAGACCTTTCAGAAGATTTCCACCAGTACATAACCTTTCGTTTCCTCCTTGTAACCTTAGCTCAGCAAATTCTGATAATTTTATTTTTCAACCACTTAGTTGACAATATGTTTTCATTTAAACATGCCTAGGTACTTAATATATGTCAACTTAGCCTCATCTGGTTTCTCTGGTGGTTCATTTTGTTAAAATTATAGTTGAAAAGAACCTGCCTTCTATTAGGAAAATCAAATTCTTTAACCCCTACTCCCCCGAGGAAAGAAGAAGAAAAAGAATCACATCTAATTCATATAAACCTGCCATTTATTAGGAAAATCAGATTTTTGGGAAAAAACTTATTCTTAAGATGATGTACAGAGGGGTTCATTTTATGTCAGGTAAGGGCTGCATTTCCTTTGGGAATTTTCTTTTGGGCAACATCACCCCATTTGTTCACTGTCTCCCAAGAAAATCAGATTCTTAATCACATCTCATTGCTATCCTAGTTTGGATTTGCTGATTAAATTCTGTAAGCATGTACTGAATGATGACTATGGTAAATCCTAAAGGAGTATTCCACGAATAGTGATGGAGAATAATTTAAAACGGATTAAGAAACTACTTGCTGTTGGCATGTTTTGCAGTGCATTGGTGGTTTGATACTCTTAAGCTTAAGTCTTCAGTGGCTCAATTAATACTTGTTGAGGACTTAAGTCAGACGACTGGTTTATGTGGGACAAGGGAGTCAGACAGGACCCGCCCTTGTGGACCATGTCACATGTCACGTGGAGGAAGAAGCCCTGAATATGTAAATGGAGCATCTCCCAATACGTAACTGCAGAGACTTAAGGAAAGGCACTCTGGGCTCTGTGATGGCGAACCTGAGGTGGCCTTCTAGAATTGAGAACCAGCAAGAGTCCTAAGAAGGACGACACTCAGCCTGTGGCCTTGAGTGCCTCAGGGGCCCCTTATATCTTTTAGGGTACCTGTGAAGAGTCCTAGTGATTTCCTTAGTCCTGCTAAGACATGATGTGTCTGTTTCTCATTGCTTTTCTCCTGAGGGTTAAGTGGACTTTTTTAGCACTGAGTTGATGTGATTTGTTCACCAGACTAAATGCACAAACACCTGAGAAATTTCAGCTATCTTCGGCCAGACATTAGGAAGCACTGCAGAAATGTGAAAAGGATCTCATTCCTCTCACCAGATTTTTTTCTTTGGGCGGGGGAGGGCTGGTTTTGTAGAAAACTTATTTTTTAGACTAGTGTGTTCATTTAACAAGCAATGGATTTATTCCTGGAACTTCTTTGAAATGAGTTTGATTTTTTTTGTTTTAATTTCGTTTATGATCATTATTCAGAGATGCAGCCCACATCCAGCTTCCTTTAATTCCTCAATCTTTTTTTTTTTTTTTTTTTTTTAAGCATGAAGAGATTGTAAGACCAAAATGTTGTGGAAAGCCACTGAAATCTGGCATCTGGTTAACTTAGTTATTACTTCAGCTCTCGGAGAGTGTCAGTAAAATGGGGGTGCTGATCAAAGTACTGTCCTCATAAATTGATTAAAAGAGAGGGAGTATGTCAAGAGCTTAGAACAGTGCATTGCACAGAGGACACGATGAATCAGTTTCATTGTTATTACTATTATTATTATCGCCACTTAATAAAATAGCACACCATATGTAACGCCAAATATTCAAGCATTATTGAATTTTGCTTGTGGTTTGTGGTCGCTGCATTGTTCTGATCTATAAAGCAGGGCATTTGAAAGGAGATGTAATTTTTTTTTGTTTTGTTTTCCCTCTACTTTTATTTATTTTGTAACTATTCTTTAGTAGTTACACAAAGAGGTTTCAATTCAGCATGTGAGTTGATGAGTTACAGGGCTTCTTAATGTCACCCTTTCTTTTCCTCCATCTCCTCCAACTTCACTGTCAGTTCTCCTAGTTCCATTTCCACATAAGGACATCGAATACTAGGATTACAGTAGAATGTTGCCAATTTTTCATTGAGGTTTAGTGGGGTTTAATGGTCAGTGGAAGTGGATACACAGTACCACAACTTCAGACTAACTTGGGGTTCCTTGTAAAACTCCCCTGTATCCCCTCGCCACCCCTGGCCCCAAGCCCCCCTAGGATTCTTCTCTGTCCAAGCTGACAGTGAACAGGTAGGCAGATGCTGTTGGCAAAACTCCAAGGTAATGGTTAAGTGTCAACACTTCAGTGTCTTTGAACAGAAAGGGCTCATGGTCGAGAGAGTCTCATTCATCCACATTGTTCAAGTGGAGAAACAGAGGCCCAGAGAACTCATTTTCTCAGGGAAGCTAACGTCATTATCAGACGCCTCAAGATAAGGACCAGCACTCTCTCAGTTTGTAGTGGGAAGAACGCAGGCTTGGAAGCAGGACGAGCGGTTCTAGTCGCAGGCTGAGACTCCCAGTGAAGTAAGCGGCTCTTCCCACAGCTTCAGAGCCCACTTTCAATACTGTGTCTTAATACTGTCATCACCTTCAGAGCTCTTCTTAAATCTGATGCTTTGTAACTTTTTCTTCTTTTCCTTTTTTTCCCTGTCTTTCTAGGACAGCCCAGAAACTTACAGGACCTGTGTCGAATTAAAATTCGACAGTGTATAGGCCTTCAAAACCTGAAGCTACTTGACGAACTGCCCATCGCCAAGGTCATGAAGGACTACTTAAAACACAAATTTGATGATATCTGACAGGCCACAACTGTGAGCAAGATGAGGAGTTCATGTTCCAGATACTTAAAAGGCGCTTTTTTTTTTTTTTTTTTTTTTTTTTTTTGCCTTGCACAAAGTATATCCTATGCAATTTCTGATTTGCTATGAAGTCAGAAAGCAGGTATACACATCGGGGGGCGGGGGGGAGTCTATTCAGCTCGTTGGTTTTCCTCGGAGAAGGGGATTTTTATATATATATATATATACATACATACATATCTATATATATAAACATACCACATGCTTGAAGGTCTTAATTTGGTTTCTTGGTCCAAGTTTATGAGGTCCAAGCTTTCTATACAATATTGCATTTAGGAAAATTGTGTTTTGTTTCGTTTTGATTTCTTTCTTCCTAAGTGATGTTAGGTTTGGAGTGGAGAATTTTATCCTTACACATTTATGGTTTTATTTGTGAGTGCGGTACTAAAAGCCAGCAGAACACTTACCAAGGTTTGCTGTCGATTTTAGGGGGTGTGGGGGGAGGGATGGGGTGGGTTCCCAGGTTACATACTAAAAACACCCCAAGAAAAGTTTTTAAAAGTCATGGCAGTCACTTTATTCATTCTGAATCGAGGACAGATTGGCTATTTCAAACTTCTTTATTTTTGTCCTCTCTAATGTAGCTTTCCAATGACAGAAACCCAGTACCTCGGCTTTTCCTGTTGGTGTGCTCTTGTTTTTTAATTTATTATTTTTTTTTTTTTTAACTGTAAGACACTACTCTGAGACATGGTGTTGTGACTTTCTGTCTCTGGTTGAATTGTACTTTTGAAAGAAATTAATGGGAAAGAAAATAACTTTATAAAGCCAGTGTATTTTGTTTTTTTTGTTTTGTTTTAATCACCCAGTGCAATACACTTCCTTCCGCTGTCTCCTGTTCATGTTTTTCTCTGGCACTTCCTCATTCCCCACCGGCCCGGCACAGCGGGGCCAGCACTTTGGTCGCCCTGACAGAACCCAGACCGTGTCCTTACAACGACCATTTTAAACCTTGTCTTTTATTTCCCTTTGAATAGCATATTCTGGTGGTTGAATGGACCCTAAAAATAGCCCAGGCTATTTGTTAAAACCATTTGGCTTTAATGGTTAAATCATTTGAAGTGTGGTTTCTTGGTGTTTTTATTTCCTTCTTCCTGGTAATATATACATATATACATAGATTCTATTAAGGGTAAAATCTCTAATGGTGCACATTTCTTAAAAGTCTGGCTGATTCCTAATACGCTAACTAAATAGTCTCTGTCTGTTTTACAGTTAGGTTCAGTGGAGCTCTCGAGGACAGTTAACTTGATTTGAGGGGCCAGGCTAGAGCTTCGGTAAGCAGAGGAGAAGGTTCTAGGATGTGAGCTCCATGCTTTAGTCACCATTCGGTTCCTTTCACAGTTCCTGATGTCCCCACATTATCTTTCGGGCTGGGGAAAACTTCCAAACAGTCACATGCCATCGGTTTATCTGCTATCCAAAGTTTACAAGGCCTAGGAAGGGCTCCTCCTTTTCTTGTCTGAATTGCTAGCTATCAGTCATAAAGTGCAAAAGCTCTTCCAGCTATGAGCGAACCACAGTGGGGCAGAGCCTGCTCTGTGCTGCCTGGTCCCATCCAGCAGAACCATTCTCCTGGCTGTACAGCTCAAACCTGGCATCTGGATTGCCCCCATCTGCTTGTACCCAGGCACCGCGTGCCCACGTGTGTTGCCGAACAGGCCGGGAGTTATTTGGAGAATGACAGATGTGGTCCTATCCATTTGGGTCAGTAGTTTTTTTGCAAAGGTGTCCATTTTGTCAGACCCCCAAACCGTAGCTGGAGCCTGATGGGTAGGAATGGGTGGTCTGACCTGTTCCTAATGGCTGTCTCTAGAAAGAGCCCCTTAGTTCATTAGAACAAGACCCAGGCTTAGACACATTGGCAGCGTTAGGGACCATGGGATGGCCAGAATGGACTTGTTAGCCCAGAAAGACAGGAAGCAGGATGGTGCCTAGGGCTGCACTCTGAGCACTGATTTAATCAATGGACCATTTGTCCAGGCCTTCTTTCCACAAATGCCAATAAGTGTTACTGATTTATTCAGCTACTATATCATATAATGATACTCTCTCCCCAGCCATTCAGAGGTTTCCAAACAAAGTTAGCCACTGAGTTTGAGTCAGCTCTTAAAGTAAAAAGATCCGATCAAGGTAAATTCTTGGTTCTATATTGCTGCTGTGACTTCAGAAAAAAAAAAAATTATGAGAGCTCTTCCTAAAATTGAAAATTCTATTTAATGAAGAAGTGTATAATTTCATTATTTATTGTTCTGAGGTTTGATTTATCTGAAAGCTTAAAAAGAATGTTTTATGTTTGCTGTGAATAAAATTCCAATCATACTGTATTTAACAACAGCGGAAATGTCGTACAGTTGGTAATGGTGGGGCATTCACACAGGTGATCTGGCAGGTTGGCACTTGAACTTGAATTTGATTGGCAAAGACACATTCTGTTCTGGTCACATGAGTGGTATGAGCAACTATTTTCAGGAAATTAGCCAATTGGGTTTTTCAGAATTTTGAACACAGTGTTCATTCATCCCGTTACCAAATCTTGCTGCCAACTCTTCAGTGTTTTTTTGGAAATTTCTTAAGTCTAGCACTAAATTTTTATAAAACTGTACACCAAAGACACCAGCTCATAGAAGATTATGATCATTAACAAACTCCAAACCTCATCTTTTGCAAACAAAGGGGTTTATTTCTTTTGTAAATATTTGTGTTTATAAATGTATAGCAGAGTAAGTGTTGTGGGTTTTTTTTTTTTTTAGACTATTTAATTCCATATTTCTAAACAACTTAGGACAGAATAACCCATGCTCTGTAGTTTGGAGTACTTGATCATTCTGCTCTTTTTTTAGTTCATTATCAGTCATGTTTGGAACAGCATTTCAGTGAATTCTAGCAAATTCTGTGTACACTTGGCACGTCAAGGAGGCTAGTAGCATGGCTTTGTCACCAGTTTCAAACCCTGAGAAATAGACACAAGTGTGGAGCTTAATGGCCAGAGTGGACCCTACGAAATTGAAATTTTAAACTTCCCTGCAGAATTGCTCATTAGCCTAAGATGTGATTGGAATACGGCTGTCTGCCTTCAAATTTAGCTTTCACCTAATGCCCCGTGTGTTATATCATAATCTTATTTTGTTCTGCCTTTGTAATGTATGTTTTGCTTTGGGTCAATTTGAATTAAAAAAAAGACACTTTGAATCTGATTTTTAAAATGTCTTGGAATCGTATTTTCTTTCTAGTCTGTCTTACTACTTCCAACTGCCTGATGAAAAAAGAAATCAGTTATTAGCATTTGGATCACTAAGAACTGGCAGTGCAGCAAACAGCACTACCCTGCATTGGCAAAAGCCAGTTTGGTTTATTTGGGGTCATGGTGGTCCTGGGGTTTGAACTCTTGAGATTTTGTACTCCCTAAGCAGATGATCTTACCACTCAGCCACACTCTGGTTTGAACTCTTGAGATTTTGTACTCCCTAAGCAGATGATCTTACCACTCAGCCACACTCTGGTCCTGATTTTAAAATGCTGGCTAGTTTTTCAGGTGCACAGTCTCACTTCCTGCCCTGGTACAGTCCTGGGCATAGCAGATTCGTGTTAGGCTTCCCATTTAGGTAGGATAATACGTGTTTATGACATCATCCACCTCTATGTTGAGAGGTCTCACAAACTTTTCTGTCCTGGGATTGGCCTCAAACCACAATCCTCCCAAATTTAGCCTCCTGAGTAGCTAGGATCACATGCGTGAGCCTGTAGGGCCTGCCTCACGCCTGGAGATCCAGCATGGAGCCATCTTGGGCCACATTCATCACCTGGCTCACCTTGAACAAACAAGGATTCTAAACATGGAAAGGCCAGTGCAATCACAGCAGTGCATTTGAGGTAGTTGATTGGCTTTCAGGAGACAGAAGCAAAATAACTTGGATCTCTTACATCTTTGAATAACCATAAGTACAAGTGGATTCAGGAGAGACCGCATCCTCCTCTGAATGCTGATGTGCCTGGGCAAAGGAGCACTGAGCATTCAGCACCCTGTGTGGGAAGGGGGTGGGGAATTGCAGCCTTCCTCGTCACATACTTAGGAATATTTGGTACCAATGAAAGGCCAAGATTGGGATTGGGACTTTTGAGACTTTGTAATGGTCCTTGGGGGAGTTCAGCTTTGTAAAAGCATTCTGTTGCTTGGAAATGCTAAAAGTCATTTCTTTTGCAACATGATTTCAGGGTACTGTTTTTTCAGCTGAAAGATCATTTACAAGAATAGTTTCCTTGCTATTGATAAAACAGATTAACTACTCAATAAAAGAAGTATCACCATCTCATTTTATCCAAGATAAAAAGAAAGCAGGTTTTTTTGTTTTTTTAATTATCTGCCTGTATTTATGTAACTGTTCCTCCAAGCGGAAGAAACGATGCTTTACCGATTTTGATGTTTGAATTTTTGAATTTACATGCTAATAAAGACATGGGCTCTGTAAACACATGGCCAGACACTGTGATGTAGGCCAGAGTTGTAGGTTCCTAAGATACAAAAATGCTTTTTGTTTTGACAGGCAGGTGCTGTACCACTTGAGCCACATCCTGGCTTTTTTTTTTTTTAACAGTACTAGTGTTTAAATGGCGGCCTCACATTCACCCAGCTCAGCTGGCACTCTGCCACACTCCTGCCTTGCTTTTTGCTGGTTATTTAGGAGATGGAGTCTCACGGACTTTGTTGCCTAGGCTGACTTTAAACCAAGCTTCTACACATCACCGCTTCCAGAGGTGTAAAGGTCTTATATGTATATGCCACTGGTGCCTGGCTTTAGTACTTTCTGAGTAAGTTCTCACATGCTCTGGGTAGTATGCATCGCTGGGATGACAGGCATGTACCCCCCCCAAACCTAGTTGGTATTAGTTGAAATAAGGGGTTTTTGATGTTCACCTCCTAAGTAGCTGGGACTACAGGCATAAGTTACCTCCGCATCTGGAAGATGGTTTTTCTTAAAATGTTATCATTTGTACTTCTGTCACTACCTATCAGGTCACTGAAGAGAGTCAAGCTGGCACATTTTTTTTCCCCCTTTATGCCGCTTATTAAATCACACTGGAAAACAAAGTGTTCTAAAGAGCTCTTCTGTGTGAAAACAAAACCCTGAGTCTGGGATAAGGGTGTAGCTCAAGTGGTAGAGCTGCAGCCTGCCAGACGTGAGGTCGTGAGTTCAAGCCCTGGTACCAACAAAATCAGCATTGTTACTGGCATTTGGTTTCCTGCCATCCTAAGGAGAGTTCTGCATTAAGGGACCCTGCAATGAGACTTCAGCTCTGCCTGGCCTGTCTTGTTTTTCAGTCACAGGATCTCCCAGCTGCATGATTGTTCAATCCTGAAGACCTACAAACCACAAGAAGTAAAGGATCTGATCAAGTTCTGTTGCAAAAATCAATAAACAAGC